CAAGACCTTTAGAACAAGATAAATCTTGAATACATTTAAACATGATTAAATTTCAACGTTTCAAATGAGTGAAATCAGTTTTCTGAAATAAGTGAAATATGTTCTTTGAATTGAGTGAAACCAATTTTTTGAAATGGAAATAAATTTGTTTTTCATGTATATGAAACACATTTCAATGCAAAATATGTGAAACTTGTTATTTAAAAAATGTGTAATTAGTTATTAAAAAAATGTGAAGCTGATTATTTCCAATCAGTTTTAAAAATATGTGAAATCTATCTTTGAAACAAGTAAATTTGTTATTTCAATTTGGTGAGTGTAATGTGTTTTTCTGAAACTAGTGACATGAGTGAAATCTATCTTTTGTAATTAGTGTAATCAATTTTTTGAAACAAGTAGAATATAGTATTTTAATTGAGTGAGTGTAATGCGTTTTCTGAAATGAGTGAAATGTGATAAATAAGATACTTGAAAAAAATTGAAATATATCCATTGTTCTGTGAAACTATCTATTTCAATGTTTGAAACTGATTTTTGTGATGAATGAAATATGTTTCAAGATATTTCATAAATACTAAGTGAAATTAGATTAGAGATTTTTTTGTAAAGAGTGAATCAGTTTTCCAAATCAGTGAAATGTGTTTTTTCAAACTAGTGAAATGATGATTTTGGAATGAGTAGAATTATATTCTTTGAAATGAGTGAAATCTATCTTTTGTAAATGAGTGTATTTTTTTTCTAAAACTAGTGAAATGAGTGAAATCTGTCTTTTGGAATGAGTGAAATCAGTTTTTTGAGACGAGTGAAACATAGTATTGCAATTGAGTGAGTGTAATGTATTTATCTAAATTGAGTGAAATCTAATTATGTAATTGAGCGTAATGTGTTTTCTAAAATGAGTGAAATAAGTTTTGAGATCTATATTTTTAATGAGTGAAATCAATTTCTTTAAACGAGTGAAATATAGTATAGTATTTCAATTGAGTGAGTGTAATGTGTTTTTGAAATGAGTGAAATATATCTTTTGGAAATGAGTGTAATGTGTTTTTTGAAATTAGTGAAATGTATTTTTGGAACAAGTTCAATTTGTTTTCTTAACTGATATTTTTTTTAAATGAGTGAAATCATTTTTTGGGTGTGTGGAAATATGTTAAATGGGTTATTCAAATAAGTTCAAATGATTATTTAAAATATATGAAACTGGTATTTATGGAATACATGAAACATATTTTAATGTGTTTGTAAAGTTGTTTATTCAATGTGTGAAACTGATATTTGTGAAATACAACTAGAACTGAAATATAAAAACTATAAAATTCAAATTGTTTAAAATATATCCAAGATCAGTCTTGTTTCAAAGGTCTTGTCGCCCTGAATTCAAATTTTTTTTCAAAAACAGAGTTTTGATTCAAAGCATATTTATCATTCAAAGTTTTCCCAAAGAAATTAATAGAGGTGTTGTGTGGGGAGAGAGAGAGGGGGGGATAATATATGTACCATGCATGCAAGTGTCCTTTCTCCTGACAAAAGTTGTTGCATGCAAAGGGACCCACATTTGTACTACCAGTGTATAGAGTTGGGGCTGCAGTTACTACTCCCTCCATTCCATAATGTATTGCTTCCTCTATCCTCGTGCTTCAACTTTGACCGTAAATTTAACTACCAAGATCGATTGCGGCGGAAGCAAAAATTATAGGGAAAACTTTGTTTTTGCCACTCTAGTTTTTGCCAACTTTGCTTATGCCACTCTAGAATTTGACATTTCACTTTTGCCACTCTTAGCTTTTGACAATATATCACTTTTGTCATTCCGTGGCAAAAGCAAAAAATTTAGAGTGGCAATTGTGATACATGTCAAAAGCTAAGAATGGCAAAAGTGAAATAAAAAATTATCGTTTTTGCCACGAAATGGCATTTGTGATGTAGTGTGAAAAGTTAAGAGTGGCAAAAGTGAGATGTCAAATTCTAGAGTGGCATAAGCAAAGTTGGCAAAAACAAAGTTTTCCCAAAATTATATCAGTGAATTCGTATTCGAAAGAAGTTTTTAATCATGTAACTTTTTCTCCCGCCGCAGTCGGTCTCGTACGTTAAATTTATGGTCAAAGTTTGACCTCGGAAAGCGCGAGCGCACTATATTTTAGAATGGAGGGAGTAGTTTATACGGACGGAGACCGCACGGATCTTGACGAAATGGACGAAGGGTGGATCCAACACCGATACATCCCGGCTCCAGTAAAATTACTTATTTGCCGGTGGCCGTTCCTTGTGCGCACAGTCATGGCCGGCGGTGCCGTAGTGCGTTCTCTAGATCTTGACGGTGACATCCTGAGTTCCAACTTCCAACTCACAGGTCTGATGCACCAACTAAGAGATGATGAATTTTACCTTACGACAAACGAAAGAAACACAAATGATAAGGAATATGACGTAGTTAACGGTCACTCCGGCCCGGCTTATATAGGGAATAAATTACAAACACGAGGGTGTGGTACCCTGGATGACAAGGGAAAAAAATTCTTGTGCGGTGAAATTAGACATGATGAAGGATAGAATTGAGTGGCATTATTAGGAGGCTATCTTAACAAAGCTAGGTTCCCCTTGGAAAAAAAACTAGGTTTCAACATGTGCTTTGTGAGATTGATCATGAAATGTGTCTCATCTGTCAGGTTCTCGGTGAGAGTCAGCAGAGAACTTTTACCCTATTTCACCCCATCCCGGGGTTTAAGGCAAGGGGATCCCATATCACCATATTTATTCTTGCTTTGTGCTAAAGGAATTTCTTTGTTACTGTAGTTTTATGATGTAGGGTTTTGTTGACAGAGGTATAAGAATCAGTTATAGATCACCATGGGTCACTCATTTATTAATCGTAGATGACAATTTGATTTTCATTAATGCGAAAGATCAGAGAGCCATACGACTGAATAAGATATTAAGTATCTATATGGTGATGCTTCATGTTAGCGTGTCAATAGTGAAAAGAGCTCGATCTTCTTCAGTTCCAATACTCCTGGCGCGATGAAATAGTCTATAAAAGCAACCTTGGACATCCAGGTTGAGGCTTTCAGTGAAAGGTATATCGGACTCCCTAATGTTGTGGTTTGTATTATCGGCGGTACGGTCAACCACATCAATGAGGGATATCATGGGAAGATTCAAGTATGGTCTAAAAAACTGCTTGCTTGCACTGGTCATGAAACTCTCTTGAAGTTGGTTATTCAGGCAATCCCCACATACTCTATGAGTATGTTTTTGTTAATGAAGAAGGTGTGTCTATGCATTCAGTTTCTTGGAGTAATCTGGCAACACCAAAATGCAAGGGAGGCATGGGATTTGGGGACCCGCATCAATTCAATCTTGCACTGCTCGGTAGTATGGATGGTGTTTGGGCGCTATTTCCAGGACACAGACTTCATGCAGGCAACCGTTCCTAAGTCTACTTCAGCTACCTGTAAGGCGATCTCCGCTTGTAGGGAGGCAATCAATGCCGGTTTTGATTAAGTGTGTTAGAGATGGGAATTCAATTTTTGTAGATAATTAGATCCCTGGGGAAATCTCTATAACTGATTGTTGAAGCCACCAAACACTTCCATTGAAAAGGTCTCTGATCACATTGATCCGAAGAATTGTAGTGGCGGTAACAACTGATCCGGCGTAATTTCATTGCTCCGGATGCCGAGCCTATTCTGAATATACCTATCAGGCAGGGAGGCGTTCCTGCTCTCCATCGGTGTAGGTCAATGTTGTGGCCTAGGCTTTACAAAATTTTGCTCCAGTCCTGGGAGGGGTCACGGTCTATTGAGCATCGTTGAAGTTCCGCCAGTGCTTGGGCTTTTGAGAAATTTGGCAACTACGCTGTGAAGACTTGCGTACGTGTTCTTATAAATCAAAAGGAACGCCTTGAGTCTCATGTGGGTTGGTCTGTGTCCAATGTTCTACTCTTCCTCGCTGACGATCGCACCTTAACTTCGAGGGTCTCACGCCCGTCGGACATGGACAGGGAAGGGAACAACAAGGACTTGGAGGACGGGTGCCGGCGAAGATTTAGACTAGGTTAGGGTTCGGACGTTTTGTTTAAGGAAATATGACAAAAATGTAGCGAATGTGCTCCGGTTTAAATGAAAATTATCCTGGTTACACGAAAGTGTCGGTTTGGTCAAATTTACTTTAAAATGTATAGAGGTACGGTTGGATGACCGGCTTCTATATCCAGACTCATTCGCGAACGGATGCCGTGTCCGTTTTAAGGATCAGCATGGAGATGCCCTGCCACCTTCATCATTGTGAAGTTACGCCTTTGTCCGTTCGTGATTTTTTTGTCCCCACGAAACAATGTGTATATGTCTCCTTTAATCTCGTTTTATATAAGAGCGTGGCTAGATCTTAATCAAGCGACGTAACATATAGAAAAAAAGGACGGGGCGGCGCCTGCGTTTGCTGTGGGTGCAGCGACGGAGCGAAATCCTCGACGTGGCGACGGTGCCGGAGTACATGCACTACGCGCAATGATAACCGGAGATGGGCGACCAGAAGACATGATGACATGATAAAATATAGATCAGCCAGTTCTCCTGTCTGATCAAGCATCGTTATCATCAGACCAATTTGCCGCTGCAAAGGTGTCGAGCCCCGTGAGAGAAAAGTGCACATGGAACCAACTCTCTCATGATCCTCGCCACGAGCGACGACCTGCCGCCATCAGTACGGCGCCTCAAGATAAACTGTGCCAGACAGCTGAGCTTTTAACCTTGGGTTGACAACCAAGAAATGAGAGATCCGCTAGAGCTTTTAACCTAGCTAGTAGGCCACTCCTCCTGCGTCTCGGGTAGTCAGACTGAAACTGGATCACTCGCTCACTGCCACGTGGGCCCCACGCCGAGCTGTCAGGCTGCCCCCACAAGCCATAGACTCCAGCGCCGAGTAATTTCACCCGACTAGATCGGTCGATTCGGTTCGCACCTTTTGTTCGCGCTCTGGCGCTTGTTCGTCCGCCGAAACCAATGGCGACCGTCGCGGGCCTTATCCGGCTCCTCCTCGTCGCCGCGCTGGCGCTGCGCCAGGCGGCGGGGGAAGTAAAGCCGCCGCCGCCGTGCCCGCTCGACCTGGGCTACGTGCGCACGTTCCCGTGGGACCGCGCGCCGTGCGCGCCGCCGGTCTCCAACGTCACCGCCTGCTGCATGACCCTGCTCTCCGTGCTCGGCATCGGCCTCGCCGCGCGCCTGCGCGCCACCGGCCTCTTCCGCCTCCCGTCCCCGCCGGCCTCGGCCGCCTGCATCCGCGCCTTCTCCGACGCGCTCGCCTCGCCGCCGCTCTCGCTCCCGCGCTCCCTCGCGCCAGCCTGCTTCCCCGTCCCGTCCCAGTTCGCCATCTCCCCGTCCTACTGCGCCGGGGTCACCACCGCCGCGCAGTACGTCGCCACCGTCGGTGATGTGGCTGCCGGGGAACTCAACTCCTCCTGCGGCTCCAACCTCACCGACACGTCCTTCTGCTACGCCTGCCTCGCCGCCGGAATCCATGCCTTGGCTCGACTCACAGCTGCCGCCGGCAAAGCCTCCAACTCCCTCAACTGCTTCTACCTCACCGCCCTCTACGCCGCCGGCGTGTCCAACTCCGCCGGCCCCACCTCCCCTGCCACCGCCGCATGCGCCTTCGGCCTCGCTCTCTCCACCCCATCCCCCGCATCCTCGAATGCCTCCAGCTCCATTACCCACACCAACATCGCAGTCGCAACCGTCATCCCGATCGCATCCGTCCTCCTCGTCTCCCTCATAGCGCTGCTCGTTTGGACGAAGCGGCACGACGGCATCAGCGGCAGGAACCGCGGTTTGTCCGACGAGCGGCGGCCGTCGCGGCAGCGACCAAACACCGGCTCGGTGCTGTTCGACATCCGCGAGCTGGCGAGGGCGACCGGCGGGTTCGCGGAGCGGAACATCATCGGCCGCGGCGGGTTCGGCGTCGTGTACCGCGGCGTGCTCGCGGACGGGTCGGTGGTCGCCGTCAAGAAGATGCTGGACCCGGACGTGGACGGCGGGGACGACGAGTTCGCCAACGAGGTGGAGATCATCAGCCACTTCCGGCACCGGAACCTGGTGCCGCTGCGCGGGTGCTGCATCACCGACGCCGACGACCCCGACGACCATGGCAGCAGGCAGATGCTCCTCGTGTACGACTACATGCCGAACGGCTCGCTCGACCGCTACATCTTCCAGCAGCAGGACGGGGCGGCGGTGATGCTGCCGTGGGCGCAGCGGAGGAGCGTGATCCTGGACGTGGCGAGGGGGCTGGAGTACATGCACTACGGTGTCAAGCCGGGAATCTACCACCGGGACATCAAGGCGACCAACATACTCCTGGACGAGGACATGCGGGCGCGCGTGGCGGACTTTGGGCTGGCACGCCGGAGCCGGGACGGGCAGTCGCACCTGACGACGCGCGTGGCCGGCACGCACGGCTACCTCTCGCCGGAGTACGCGCTGTACGGGCAGCTCACGGAGAGGAGCGACGTGTACAGCTTCGGCGTGCTGGTGCTGGAGGTGATGAGCGGCCGGCCCGCGCTGGACCTCGCGGAGCCGTCCGGGATGGTGCTGGTGACGGACTGGGCGTGGATGCTCGTCAAGGCCGGCCGGACGAGGGAAGTGCTCGCCGAGGCTCTGCTTCGGGAGAAAGAGTGCCGGGCGACCGTGGAAGCCATGGAGAGGTTCGTGCTCATCGGCATCCTGTGCGCGCACGTCACGGTGGCGTGCCGCCCCACCATGCCGGAGGCGTTGAGAATGCTGGACGGGGACATGGACGTGCCGGACTTGCCGGACCGGCCGCAGCCGTACGGCCAGAGAATCCCGTTCGACGAAGGCGAAGGCAACTTCAGTGCCTCGTCGGTGCTGAGCGGCCCGTTCCTGGACTTCGGCGACATGCTCAGGTGAGGCTGGGTCAGGGGTTGATACACGAAGCTGAAGCTGGACTGGAATTTATGTACTTTCACATTTTGCATACTGCAGTAAACTACACCTTGTAACTGAAGTTCAGAGCATTGTGTTATAGCTTTTCATTTTGTTGTATAAATGGATTGTGTACGACACTATCTTCTGCTGAAATACCGAATGAAACATGTAGAAAGATGCTGATGAATGAAATAAAGTTCACATCAAATCAAGATTTTCCACACTGTTTTTTGCTGTCATTACAAACTATTCACCGTCCGGCAACTGCGGTGATCAGGAAACAACATGCAGATACAATACCGGTCTACTGATATTTCAGCTCCAATGGTGGTGCAAACTTACAATAGGGCAGACCGGCAGGCGGCAGGCGGCAGCCGCGCGACTTCTAGAGCCTGACCGTATTGGCACACCATCAAGCTACTATGTATAACATGTTCAATTGTTCATCCAAACAGATAACAAATGAAGGATACAACTGGCAAAATGCAGGATGGACATACAAGCCAGTGGGGGATACATTTGATGGAGTGGCGCGGAGAGTCGGCGGCCTAGCTGTCCTCCTGCAGATTGGGGTGGCTAGGCTGCACGCGGAAGGTGATCGGCATCTGGGCTGCAAAGTCCCTGTCTGGATGGTACCCAAGCTCAAGATCCCTCATGCTCCCGCTCAAGGCGATATCATGCTGGTGCTGGACGAGGATGAACAGAAGCAGACAGTCGGTTAGGGAAGCCTTCAGCGTACACAGTTCCTTTGGTAACAACTAGTGCAAATATAATTTGTAGATGACATTCATGCATAATGTAGTAAACCTGCAGCCCCTATCCCCCACTATATGCTCTATTTGCAAGTTTTGAGCTCTTTTTCAATGAAAATCCAGGTGGGGACTGCATGGTTAATCAGGTGGTATTACCGAATGATTGTAACCATTCTTATTGATGGAAGGATCGTTGAGTGTGCGTGCATTCAGCTCATTCAGAAATCTCATGTATGTTCCTAACAGAACATAGAATGTACTCCCTTCGGTCCTTTTTACTCTGCATATTAGAATTCTTTGAAGTCAAACTTCACAAAGTTTGACCGTATTTATATGAAAAGATATCAACATCTGCCATGCTAAAGTTATATAATATGAAACTTTAAGTCATGATACATCTATTGGTATTGATTTCAGATTATGAATGTTGGTACTTTTTTCTATAAAGTTGGTCAAACTTTATGAGACTTGACTTTAGTCAAATCTTATATGCGAACTAAAAAGGACCGGAGGGAGTACCTACTGTTTGATAAGTTTTTTTTAGAAAACGAAGCTTCCATTACCCCCAGCCTCTGCCGATGATGCATACTGTTTGATGAGTGTTCATGCAAAAGTTTATTAAAAATAACCAGCATTTAAACAGTCCGCAAATATAGTTTTTGTTCATGCAAAATTTTATGAAAAACAATCAGCATTTAAACAGTCCGCAAATATAGTTTTTGTTCATGCAAAATTTTATGGAAAACAATCAGCATTTAAACAGTCCGCAAATATAGTTTTTATTCATGCAAAAATTTGTGAAAAACACTCAGCATTTAAACAGTCCGCAAATATAATTTTCAGCTTACATGCTTAACTTCAGCGAAAACAGATGCAGCTTATTCAAATAGAAGCTCCACAAGTGAGCCATCTGCAAGGTCACTTACCACTTTAAAGGCCAGCAGCTTGTTCTCATCTTCCAGCATCTTACCCTGCAGTTGGCCAATAAAACAATGGATGAGGGCAAAGTGTGAAAGAACTGCATTATGATCAACAAAATATGCAGAGCACGTAATCATGTATGCAAAACTAGGCCATACATGTTTCATGAGCCTGTCATAATGCTCCATCTGCACCAACAGAATAAAACATCAGAAACCAAAAAAAAATATCTAAAAAAAACATTTCAGTGGTGACAATGCTTATGATTTCAATCAACAAATCGAACAATTATAGTGCCTGTTTCTCATGCAGACTTGTCAGCCCATTATCAAGTGCTTCCTCAATCATGATCAGCTCTTTGGGCTGCAGCGAGTTCAGATCTTCGCCTTTCAAGTGTCTGTACCATCACAACGGGCGATTGCAATCTCAGTGTACAGGATATCCAAGGAAAAAGAAACATTCTGTCCAAGAAATTACCTGAGCTCGATCTGCATGTTATCATTCTCTTTCTTGATTCGATCAATCTCCGCACTGAGGCTCTGCAACATTGAATGTGTCCATCGGTGATAAGTCATTCTACTGTTTATTTTCCTGAACTACAGGTCATTCCACTCAGTCGATTCCACAAAATACAGGTGGTGTTCTAACTCTGAAGAGACTTTTTTGGAAAAGGATTTCAGCCAGGCTTTTAAGAAAGCAACTCTAGAAAAAGCACTCATTGATATGTTTTGGAGGTCAAGAATTACCTTGTGTTTCTCATCCCACAGTATCTTCCCGGAGTTGGTCTGGTACTTCTCCAAGATTCTTGATAGCCTATGTCCCACCAAAGCGATTCATGAATACACGGATAAAAAGGTTGCTAAACGTGCCATTAACAGAAACGGGTGATTCTAGATTCCGAAAATGTCATCCAGTCCAGGAAAAGGGGAGTATGAGTTGTTTGGTCCTACCCACTTAAAATTACTTTAAACGTTTTTTTAGAAAAGGAAAATTACTTTAAACGCACACACACGAAACCAGTCAAGCAGAAAACATTCAGGCCAACCCAATTCCGCTCATGGTAAGTTATTGATACGAGTAGCAGCATATGAATCTACTCCCTCCGTTCCTAAATATTTGTCTTTCTAGAGATTTCAACATTTGACTACATACGGAGCAAAATGAGTGAATCTACGCTCTAAAATATGTCTACATACATCCGTATATTGTGCCCATTTGAAATAACTAGAAAGACAAATATTTAGGAACGGAGGGAGTAATATTTTACCTATCTGCAGTGACTATAAATGTACACTCCCATCCAAACACCGACAAGCAGCTAAGGATTGCATATTTGCCAGCAGCGAAGAACCCAACGTCAAAAAATTAAAGCACGCACAAGTCACAAACAGTATACTAGTACTACGAAGGAGCCGAGGAAAGTGCTCCTTAAAAACCGAGATTCAGGGCGGGAAAGGGGGCAGACACGGCACGCACGAGGTCTTGGGGGAGCAGAAGTCGTAGAGCTTGCCGGCGCTGGAGAAGACGACGACGCCGACCTCGGCGTCGCAGAGCACGCTGATCTCCTTGGCCTTCTTGAGGATCCCGTTCTTGCGCTTGGAGAAGGTCACCTGGCGGTTGCTCTGGTTCTCGATCCTCTTGATCTCGATCTTCCCGCGCCCCATCCCTCCTCCTCCTTCGTCCTCCGGCGGCGCCAGGAAGGGCTCGTTTCCTCTGGTGCTCTGGGGGCCGGTGCGTGCGTGGTGCGATTGGGGAATGGCGGTGGTGGGGACGGAGGTGAGGTGGGGAAGGTGGAGGAGGAGTAAAGGAGGCCGCCATGGGAGGAAGAGGAATGGTGATGGGGGGGCTTTCGGGGTGGTTCAGGGGTGGGAGCCGGAAACGGCAAGTGCTCTGTTTGCTTCGCTTGGCTCGGGCTTCGGTTGCCTGGTTTGCTTGCTCCGGTGTCCCATTTGATTTGATTGAGCGCTGAAAGCCTGTAAAAGCGGGGAAAAGGTCTTGGTTTGATTTAGAGCCTCTTCGGCAGTCATCCGGCTCCTCAAAATACGGGAGCCGGTGGAGCGTCACTTTGACGACTCTAGAAAAATAGGCTACGGCGCCGCTCCGCTCCGGCCGCTCCAGAAGCTGAGCTGTGGAGCGGAGAGCTGCCGAATAGAACTGTAACATCCCAAATTTTTAATTTAGAATGTTATACACTAAATCATCATTACATATCATAATTATTGCATTTTGATTGATCCTAGAAATTTCACGCAACTCAAGGACCCTCGGAGAGAGTTGGGGATTTCGTTATTTTCATATTTGAGTTGTCTCAAATTTTGAAAATAGGATCATTTGATTTTATTTATTTTATCTTCATTTATTTTTATTATAAAAATTATGAGAGAAGGAATAAAATGACTTTCCAAAAATAAAGAAATATTGAGGATTTAATAAAAAAATCAAATAAGATTTTATTTGGTTTTATTTGCAATTTTATTTGAATTTAGGAAAAATGTGCGTTTTTCAAAATTGCATTTAGGCCCCAAATAAATGTTCATCTTGTGCGACTTGATTTTAGAAGTAGGGTAAAATTTATTTCGGGATTTTTGGAGTCTGTTTAGTATTTCTTTCGTTAGTTTTTCTGCACGGAATTATTTAAACAAAATCCAAACCGACTCCGGGCCGTACCCGAGCGGGACTCTGCCCGGGGGGCCTTTTTAAGCCGACCCCGCCGAGCCGCCGAAGCCCACCAACCCGCCCGCCGAAACCCTAGCGCCGCGCCGCCCCGCGCCG